AACCTCTAAATCGATAGATATTAGGTTGTCCCAAAAAGTTCTGACAATGACGGTTTTTTTCATCGCTCACTGAAACTCACAGAACGTCAGTCTACAGTCCGCTCCAATCGAGATCAGGCCAAACCGTCGGTGTAAATTTGCGCGCTCGCAGCGCTAGCGGTCTGCGCTGCATATGCGCGCCGTCGGAGAAAACAAAAGGATTGCGGGGAGAGCAGAGAAGCAGGCCGTGGGCGTGACCGCGAAACCCTAACGACGCGAACTCCCGCCATGCCAATTTTGGCCTGGATGGGATCGGGACAGACGTATAAGGGTTCCTTCATGCTACGCCACAGGACGCGGCAGTCTGCCGCAGCACGTAGTATGAAGGAACACTAAACAATGTAGGTAACGATCGATTCAGACTTTTATCCTCTTTCTCAATGCTATATTTGCTCTCTGATCTATGCTGTCTTTGCGATGTTATCACCATGGATTTTTGAGCCTCAACAGTAACGCCAAATCTTTCCTGGATTTTGAAGTTTTTTTATTCAATATATTCAGTAAGCGCTTTTAGCTGTTATGTGAGCAAACCCTTGGCTAATCCATTTTGAATCACATGGGCTACGTTTATTAAGTCCGTAATAATTATTTGCTTGGAGGAAAAGCGTGGTTTTTCGATCACGTTTGCCAGTAAGAATACCGAAATCTGAAAAGCTGATTCTTGAAAGCAAATCAAACTTGCTTATGTTGCCAAATAATGCCTATTAACAATCAAGTTTCAATTCGCAGAAACATCGAAAGCATTCACGTTTTTGCTGCAGCCGCGTGTTTCATGACTTTGTCAAAGATCGAGACCTACGAATATAATTTTTTGAAGCTGAAAACAACATAAAAAAATCTAAAAATGCTGCCGTTTAGTCCGAGATTTGCTCCACTTGCATTTTTCTCAAGTATTTCCAGAATTTTACATTACATTTTTTGAGAAATAGCCCAACTTTGGGCAGATAGAAATGATGGATGGAGAAATTTAGCAGTTATCAAAAGAAGCGTACATGAATGTGGCGAAAATATGTCACTAGCTGGCTTACCCGGCTCCGCCGTATCCGGACCAAACTTGGCACACATACACTTCGGGCCCCGGCGGGTGTCACAGTCCACCTCTCGTTATCGATCGATGTCGATTTTACCGATTTTTATCGATTTTTTTGCAGAGTTCACCTACAGGGCTAGGAATTGGCACAGGGGGAAGTGAGCATGGGGATTCCGAATACAATATTAGTTTTCAGAATTATCGATTACTTTTATTGTTTTTATCGATTTTTTGTAAATTTTGACATGCGAGGCTGGGATTTTGCACAGGGGGGTAATCGAGCATGCTGATTACGAACACAATATTAGTTTTCAGGATCGTCCATTACTTTTATCGATTTTATCGATTTTTTGAAAATTTGAGCTAGGGGGCTGGAATTTGGCACAGGGGTGTAATCGAGCATGCTGATCACCCCCCCTTGGGGATGATCAGCATGCTCGATTACCCCCCTGTGCCAACTCCCAGCCCCCTAGCTCAAACTTTGCAAAAAAATCGATAAAATCGATAAAAGTAATCGATAATCCTGAAAACCAATATTGTATTCGGAATCCCCATGCTCGATTACCCCCCTGTGCCAACTCCCAGCCCCGTAGCTCAAACTTTGCAAAAAAATCGATAAAATCGATAAAAGTAATCGATAATCCTGAAAACCAATATTGTATTCGGAATCCCCATGCTCGATTACCCCCCTGTGCCAACTCCCAGCCCCGTAGGTGAACTCAGCAAAAAAATCGATAAAAATCGATAAAATCGATATCGGTCGATGACGAAAAGTAGCCTATGACACCCGCCGGGGCCCGTAGTGTATGTGTGCCAAGTTTGGTCCGGATCGGTTCAGAAATGGAATTTTCTATTCGGAACATACGTACACACAGACATACAGACAGACATACAGACAGACATACAGACAGACAAACAGACATTCAGCTTTATATATAAGATGAGAGCAATAACATATCGAAGTATTTGAAGAGGAAAACGGAATGTATTACTCTGTCCATGCTTGCTCGGCTAGCGGCTTTCCAGTACACTGATCTTTTGCACGATAAACATTGCATATTTTAAGAAAAGGTTGAGCGGAAAGTCTGTTATGTGATAACGTTTTCTCCGCGTTGCCGCGGCGTTGCAGTAACCATAGATTAAATGCAACAACCTCGAGGGAAGATCGCAGCGTTGCGGCGATACACCCACTTTGAATGAAAACGAGATTACCAAAGTGAGTTTAGTTACAAATTTCAATCTTGAATTTTCGCTAGGGGAGGAACTATATCTCCAGAATATATCACTGTTCCACTGCGGTTTATAAAAAGTTATTCAAAAGGAAAGTTTGCGTATTTACAGTCAAACGAAATTGCCTAAAGATGATCGCGTTCCCCTTGATCAAATCTAGTCCCAACCGGCTACACATTTCCAGCTCGCATTCACTAGTGCCTTCGTAACAGAATGGCACCTTCGTAACAGAATGGCAATCTTTCTGAGTAATTACAAAAGCATGAACTTCGTGATAGTGGCAAAGCAAAACCTCTAAATCGATAGATATTAGGTTGTCCCAAAAAGTTCTGACAATGACGGTTTTTTTCATCGCTCACTGAAACTCACAGAACGTCAGTCTACAGTCCGCTCCAATCGAGATCAGGCCAAACCGTCGGTGTAAATTTGCGCGCTCGCAGCGCTAGCGGTCTGCGCTGCATATGCGCGCCGTCGGAGAAAACAAAAGGATTGCGGGGAGAGCAGAGAAGCAGGCCGTGGGCGTGACCGCGAAACCCTAACGACGCGAACTCCCGCCATGCCAATTTTGGCCTGGATGGGATCGGGACAGACGTATAAGGGTTCCTTCATGCTACGCCACAGGACGCGGCAGTCTGCCGCAGCACGTAGTATGAAGGAACACTAAACAATGTAGGTAACGATCGATTCAGACTTTTATCCTCTTTCTCAATGCTATATTTGCTCTCTGATCTATGCTGTCTTTGCGATGTTATCACCATGGATTTTTGAGCCTCAACAGTAACGCCAAATCTTTCCTGGATTTTGAAGTTTTTTTATTCAATATATTCAGTAAGCGCTTTTAGCTGTTATGTGAGCAAACCCTTGGCTAATCCATTTTGAATCACATGGGCTACGTTTATTAAGTCCGTAATAATTATTTGCTTGGAGGAAAAGCGTGGTTTTTCGATCACGTTTGCCAGTAAGAATACCGAAATCTGAAAAGCTGATTCTTGAAAGCAAATCAAACTTGCTTATGTTGCCAAATAATGCCTATTAACAATCAAGTTTCAATTCGCAGAAACATCGAAAGCTTTCACGTTTTTGCTGCAGCCGCGTGTTTCATGACTTTGTCAAAGATCGAGACCTACGAATATAATTTTTTGAAGCTGAAAACAACATAAAAAAATCTAAAAATGCTGCCGTTTAGTCCGAGATTTGCTCCATTTGCATTTTTCTCAAGTATTTCCAGAATTTTACATTACATTTTTTGAGAAATAGCCCAACTTTGGGCAGATAGAAATGATGGATGGAGAAATTTAGCAGTTATCAAAAGAAGCGTACATGAATGTGGCGAAAATATGTCACTAGCTGGCTTACCCGGCTCCGCCGTATCCGGACCAAACTTGGCACACATACACTTCGGGCCCCGGCGGGTGTCACAGTCCACCTCTCGTTATCGATCGATGTCGATTTTACCGATTTTTATCGATTTTTTTGCAGAGTTCACCTACAGGGCTAGGAATTGGCACAGGGGGAAGTGAGCATGGAGATTCCGAATACAATATTAGTTTTCAGAATTATCGATTACTTTTATTGTTTTTATCGATTTTTTGTAAATTTTGACATGCGAGGCTGGGATTTTGCACAGGGGTGTAATCGAGCATGCTGATTACGAACACAATATTAGTTTTCAGGATCGTCCATTACTTTTATCGATTTTATCGATTTTTTGAAAATTTGAGCTAGGGGGCTGGAATTTGGCACAGGGGTGTAATCGAGCATGCTGATCACCCCCCCCCCCCTTGGGGATGATCAGCATGCTCGATTACCCCCCTGTGCCAACTCCCAGCCCCCTAGCTCAAACTTTGCAAAAAATCGATAAAATCGATAAAGGTAATCGATAATCCCGAAAACCAATATTGTATTCGGAATCCCCATGCTCGATTACCCCCCTGTGCCAACTCCCAGCCCCGTAGCTCAAACTTTGCAAAAAAATCGATAAAATCGATAAAAGTAATCGATAATCCCGAAAACCAATATTGTATTCGGAATCCCCATGCTCGATTACCCCCCTGTGCCAACTCCCAGCCCCGTAGGTGAACTCAGCAAAAAAATCGATAAAAAATCGATATCGATCGATGACGAAAAGTAGCCTATGACACCCGCCGGGGCCCGAAGTGTATGTGTGCCAAGTTTGGTCCGGATCGGTTCAGAAATGGAATTTTCTATTCGGAACATACGTACACACACACACACAGACAGACAGACAGACAGACAAACAGACATTCAGCTTTATATATAAGATTAAGAAGGAGAAGGAAACAGGGTTCGGCACAGGTGGCTTAGGGTTGGGCCAGACTGCGCGGCGTACGCGACGTACGCAGCGTACGCCGCGTATGCTCCTATGATGAAATATACCGAGCGTACGCTGCGTACGCCGCGTACGCCGCTTCCCCGCGAAGTCTGGCTCAACCCTTATAAGCAAGCCGTATATCGTTTTGGGGACAAAAAGCAGAAGGGGTTTCGTTTTTGTGGGCGAAAAGACACAAAATTTGCGACGGTTTTTTTGGTCGACCTTCCGTTTTTGGGGATTTTTTGGGATTATTGTCTAGGGTCAAAGGGGGTTTCGTAAAAATTCGCAAAAATCAAGAGGGACTTTGTTGCATTTCCAATTAGCCACCTCGTGCCGAGCCCTGATTCAAGATTTGCATGCTGCACAACCATGCTGCTACCTTTCCTGTGCTTCCTGTTCTTCACAATCAAGTATTGCAATCTTGCAATGTCACTGAAGCAACAGACTCCTTTTTTCATATACTGATGTGATCACATACGTTTGGTTATAGGCGCCAGCGCTTAGGCCAGGCACATATCGTATGGAAGCATGCTGGCTTTGTTTTCGGGGCGAAAAAGCAAAGGAGATATCGTTTTTGTGAGTCCGAAAACACAGAAGTTAGGTTAGTTTTTGTCGGCTTTCCGATAAGAGGTCAGAGTAAACTTCGAAACCTGGGGGACTTAGTTTTCAGCATAAAAACGGACTGTTGCAAAGTTAGGATTTTGAAATTTTACCAGATGAAGAAGGTAAGGCTGGGCAGCCAAACAATATCGCCACTTTCAATCTTTTGATTTGAAAAGCAGCTTCGTTTGCATTAATGCTCACATAACATTTCTTCGCACATAATAAAAACGGCCGGCAGGATGATCAAGTGCATCAATGCAAAAAAGTGCTCTTTAACAATCACTTGAAACCCTGATTATATCAATAAAAATGTCTTTAATGTGTTCTCTATGCACAACAAGCTGTCAATTATTCAAACATAAGTTTCTTCGCGATTAAAAGCGGGGAAAAAGCGAACGAACTCATAAGAAAAGCTTACCGTCTTGCAATCACCGCACTGCATAACTCTTTGAGCAATATTCAGAATGAAAAGACTCTTTATCATCGTGTTCGTTGGTGCTGCTGTCTGTTCTCCTTCTTCTAAAGGAACCAAAAGGGCAAGTTTCATAAGCTAATTGACTCCTGTCAAAAGCCTACTATGCAATGCTTGAGGCGGAACTCAATGTAAGCCCAAGAAAGGAAATTCTCGCGAAGGCCAGAAAGTTTATCGATGAGATGAAAGCGATGCTCGACAAAGGTAATGCGATTGACAATAATATCACGAGTGAAGGCGAAAGACTGAAAGCCCACCAGGCGCTGCAAAAACAGAATCCAAAAGTGAGAGAACAGCTGATTATTAAGACGTTCAAAGTCCTTCCATTTAGGCGTACTACGTTTTAGGGGAAATTCACATGCAGTTTGCAGTAAGTGCGGTAAGTGTTGCAGGATGGAAAATTTTATATTTTATGAGAATGCTCCGACGGCAGTGCCCAGACAGGTAAAAAAAATGTTAGCTGCTTATGGTTATGACACGAGTTGAAGCCAAGAACCAAAGAAGTCCTGAGGGCTAGCACTTACTCAGACAATCGCTGGGGGCAGGCGGGCACCGGAAAAATAGATTGCTGATTTCTCGCACCCCGCTCGCGGATTTTTTGGAAAGCAATCAGAACTTTTCGGAAGACCGCTTGCTGAGTCAGCGGATTTTTGAGAGACCGCCTGTGGAATTTTTTTCGCTCTTGTCTTTTGCAAATATATTGCTGAATCTCTGAGGAATCGAGAATTCAGCAAGCGGTCTTCCGAAAAGTCCTGATTGCTTTCCAAAAAATCCCGGGGTGCGAGAGATCAGCCATCTATTTTTCCGGTGCCCGCCTGCCCCCGGCGATTGTCTGAGTATGCCTAGCGATATAGCCTTGCGGATGCATCCCCTTGGTTTAGCGATCGCACCACTGCGTTAAAGACAGTGTCCGGGCAAAAACTCGATTTTTAGAAAATCCTTACAGGGAGTTATCCGCAACGGGGAATCCATAAAACCACATTAGCTCAGATAATCGCCGGGGGCAGGCGGTCCGCGAACTCGCACTTTTCTGCAGGCGGTCAGCAGAATTTTCTGGCGTGGCCAAACCGTCAGCGAGCGGCACTTCCTTTACGGTCGCATATTCTGCCAGCGGGCAACAATACAGCACTTTTTGCAAGTGCTCGGCAAATAATTTCTTTCAGCGAGCGCTGGTCCAACTTTCAGCAAGCGCTCGAACTCTTTTTATGTAGTTTTGGGCGTACGCCGAGCAAAGGTGAGACTCTGTGTGGCAGAGGTGTTGCCGTTGGTTTAATTACTCAAGTTTGAGGTACTTTCTCTCAGCGGAAAGTACCTGGGGGCTGCGCGGTCCTCCACAAAGGACGTGCGGCCCGGCCCACTTTTGCATGTTCTCGCGGAAAGTCCGCGAAAATGCGGCCACTGCGCCGCAGCTAATTTATAAGGAAACCGCGATTGTTCTCCAAGCATTCGTCCAATGTTTCGCTAAAATTCTTCCTAATATCTGCAAGCGGACCGCAAGAAATCAGCGAACTATTTTTCCGGTGCCCGCCCATCCATAAATTGCATGGCCGCCTGCCCCCGGCGATTATCTGAGAGAAAGCGCGTAAACGGCAAGAACATGCGTTTTCCAAAACCTTACAATTTGAAATGCGACGGTCCCCGCCAAGGCTGAGACACAGAGTCTATGCGGAGCCCTACGATTTTAACTGTGACGGGATGCGTTGTTCTCTGTTGTATAGGCTGCGTTCATGCTAATGCGGAAGTTCGGGAACAGTTCAGGATCAGTATGAACGCAGCGTAGCAGGAATTCGGACAGGTTGGAAGACCTTGCCCCAAGGCGTGAGTTTACCCACTTTCCAACCTTTTCCTTGCTTTAGGTCCAACTCTATAATCTCGTACTTGCGCAATTTGTTGAAGGGGGCCACTTTCGCATGGCAGTGAGCTCCCAAAACCCTCGCCTTGTCCGGGCACTGCCTTTGAGATCCTAGTGCTACAACGGCTCCGCTCCTTTAACCATGTAAAATCTTTATACACTCGTGCAGCTAATCATTTTCGAATGGTAAGCTGCACGAGCACAGGTAAGCGAAAGAGTTGGAAATCAAGATCTTGTTTGGATATTGCTGACTGGCAAGTTTTATTAAAGCGTTGACTTTTTTGGCAGTGTTGATTAAATATTGCTGATCAAATATAAGTCCAACCTCAGAAAATGACTAGTCTTAATCGCTACTTAATGAATTAATCTTGAATGTGGTAGGCTGTGTATGTGCCCTACTGTCTGCACTAGTACAGGTTTCGCTCTCATTCAGTTAAAAAAATTTCGAAAAAGCAGACTGAAAACTGGATGAAACTGTAGCCCATCTTAAATTACTATCCAGGAATAAAGTTCTTGGCTTTTAAAGCCTGCTAAAGTGTGGTTCATGATTATACACGCTTTAATCTGAGGATTTTGTGACTTGGAAGATTCGCGAATAACCTTGGTGCCAAATGAAGGAGAACCAGACATTAGGTCGCCATTAAGTTCCATCCACTAAGCAGATAGCATGCGGCAGTAATGGTGAAGGGGCTCGGTTTGTTGCAAATGTCCGCGTGGGACCGTCCCTTTCGACAACACAATGCCCTCTACCCAGTGAAGGAGCATAGCCGAACACGGTAGAGCAGCACAAGAATGAAAGTTGATGTCCCCCAAGTTCCATTTTCCACTCAAAGCTGCCCTCTTCCGCATTCGAGTTTTTCGTAAAGTTACAACTACAAAGTTTGAGATATTTGCTGAACGCTGAACCCAGAAAGCTTCATAAAGAGAAGCGTTAATCTCATCAGATACCTCGAAACGTTTTCTGCTCTAGCGCTCTTCAAAAGCTTTTCTGTGGTAAAAACACTCACTCATCCTACTATAAATATGTTGTTCTAAGCCCAAGCCTTGCGTGCTTTTGAGTTCGCTGAAACCTCATCTTTTCCTAGAGCTAATGCAACTTTGAGCCTCAAAACTCTGCTTTTGTCTCCCTCAAAGCTTTACGATGGAGAAAGTGCATTGGGTGTACGATAGTTCGCGCTTAAGTTTTTGCGTTTTTTTACATAATAGTGAGGATTTTGAGAAAAGCAAGAGGAAGATGTGTACGTAGTATACAATGTGTAACAAAAATGTATTTACTGTTCGATTGTTGATAATACCCGTCATGAAGTTTTTGGAAAATCAGGTACCAATTTTTAAAGCTGACCCCAGCTTAGGTCTACAGCATGGAACGAGTCGCCTATTGCTCTTCATCACATGGGATTTACGATGCTTCCGGCATATGGCGTTTGAAAAAGCTGCCGTTTCATATAATTTCGGAAAAAATCTGAAAGCTTGTGTAATAGGTTTTTCATGGACGCTGACTTTGATACCCAACTTTATACAAGATTGTGCAGCTTTCTGAACTTGCACTCACATTTTTAAGAACTTCGAGAAAACGACTGCCGTGCTTATCTAGGGTAACTTTTTAACTAACAAGGGAAGCTACCTAACCTAGCTCCACCTTTTAGCAAGCTAAGTATATAATCTGAATCAGCTTCAAAGCTAATTGCATATATGTTATTTCTAGCTGCCATGCACCATTCCGAAGCTAGTTATTGGCTTTTTCCTGCGCAAAATTGGCATACTCATTGACTCATGGGCATCACTCATCATCATTTAAGTGCTGATACACCTGCGTTAAGCTTTTTTGGTGAGAAAAGATTGGATTTGTACTATTTCCATACCTCAGCACCTTTTTCTTGCAGGTTTTTATTTACAGACAGTCTTCTCATGTTCAGTAGTATGCCAATTTTTGTAGGAAAAAGCCCATAACTCGCTTCAGAATAGTGCGTGGGCAATTAGGAATAGCATATTTGGAAAAGCGTCTGAAGCTGATTCAGAATATATATGCCTTTTACCAAAAGGCGAGATAAGTTAGGTAGCTTTCCTTATAAGCATTATGATAAGATGCAGTCATATTAAAGGCCAAGCAAGAGGTGTGGCATACAGCACCGGGTACTTACGACCCCCCCCCCTTAAAGGCAGTGTCCAAACAAAAACTTGATTTTGAGATTTTGTGCTTACCCGGGCCTACTCAGATAATCGCCGGGGGCAGGCGGTCCGCAAACTCGCGCTTTTCTGCAGGCGGTCAGCAGAATTTTGGGGCGTGGCCAAACCTTCAGCGAGCGGCACTTCCTTTACGGTCGCGTATTCTGCCAGCGGGCAGCAATACAGCATTTTTTGCAAGCGCTCGGCAAATAATTTCTTTCAGCGCGCGCTGGCCAAACTTTCAGCAAGCGCTCGGACTCTTTTTAAGCATTTTCGGGCGTACGTCGAGCGAAGGTAAGACTCTGTGTGGCAGAGGTGTCACCGTTGGTTTAATTACTCAAGTTTGAAGTACTTTCTCCCAGCGGAAAGTACCTGGGGGTTGCGCGTCCTCCACAAAGGACCGGGCGGCCCCCGAAATTTTTGCATATTCTCGCGGAAAGTCCGCGAGAATGCGGCCACTGCGCCGCAGCTAATCCATAAAAAAACCGCGATTGTTCTTCAAGCATCCGTCTTTAATTTCGCCAACTTTCTTCCAAATTTCTGCAAGCGGGCGGCAAAAAATTAACGAACTATTTTTCCGGTGCGCGCTTGCTCAAAATTCGCATGGCCGCCTGCCCCCGGCGGTTATCTGAGTATTTGCTATGCTGAATTCGACTATCCACACTGGAGAGCGCGAAATCGCGAAAAAGGGCGCTAACAAAAGAGGGAAATCATCAGGTGAGCGGGGTCCTCCCCACTGTGAATTTATGCTTCCAGCTTCTGGAGCGATCTTCTCCTTTTAGTCAGGTCAATCGTTCGCATTCGGAGGTTGCGATGTCTGGATGGCCAGCGAAATCAAGAAGACCGCTTCGGAAGCTGAGAGCGTAAATTCACAGTGGGGAGAACCCGCTCACTTGCTGTTTCACTCCTGCGTTAGAGCGCTTTTTCGTTGTTTCCGCGCTTTCCAGTGTGAATTTTTGGATTCAGCATTGCGAATAGGGCCGGATAAGCACAAAATCTCAAAATCAAGTTTTTGCCCGGACACTACCTTTGGGTTCTGTCTCGATACTTCCCCACCCCCCTTTCTCCCCAGCATTCTCTTTGCCTACCGTAGGCATGACATAAAGGAACTATTAAGCATAACTAGTAACATAACCCCTGTGGGCCAACTTTTTGCGTTGAGGGTTTCCGATATTGGACTACTCAAGTGAACTGGCCATTTTCAAACATGGTTAATTAATTATAAGTTTCAAAAGTGAACAGTGAATAAAGTGCTTCTTTTTTTTACTCAAGTATTGCCTATACCACGAATCTTGCTTCAAAAAACCACCAACCTATGGAATTTGGAGCAAGCCAGAATCTTGTTTGTCCCATTTTGCGCT